CCGCCGCATGGAGCGGCTCCAAAGCCCGACGGCTCCTCCGCGGGTCCCGTCCTGCCCGCGGCGGCTCCGGAGAGGTCAGGGAAGGAGATGGCTGGACACCCACAGCCGCCTGCACACGGCATTAAAGCTGAGATCACGCACGCAGAAATCCACGTCGTGGGGTTACGCTCCGTGTGTTCCCCACAAAACCGGCTACTCGCTCCTTCCCTGTGCAGCAGGACCAGTACATGGCAATTCCTTCAGCCATCTGACGGAGGTTGAGAGAAAACGGACTGCTGGGGCAGAGATGAGAGTTCCTGAGGTTTGGCATGCAGCACGAGAAACGCAGGAAGGCTGCATTGCTGCTGCCTGCAGAAAGGCTGAGAGGCAGCGACGGGACCAAGGGGGCTCCTGGGCGAGGGTCCCTCTGGGAGGAGGGACACGGGGACCCAAAAGCTGCCCTCAGTAGCTCTAATAGGTTTTATATAACATCCAAGGCTAATCCCTTCTGGGAGCCTGCAAACCCCTCCTGCAGACCCTCTGCTAGACCAAGGAGCTGGGCCCGGCCTCCGCTACGGCAGCCTAAGGAGCCTCCCAGAACTGACCCTGCATGTGGACAACAGAGGTACAGGGTGTAACAGCACCGGTGCCGCGGCTCTCCGGACAACCGGCCCGGCGGTGCCCCGGCGCTCGGGGCGCAGGGGTGGCCTCATGCACCCACAGGCTCTGCTGAAGCCGGTACCTCCATCAGCAACGCGGGTCGGGCAGCAGAGGGCGAGCACTTCTCTGGGCCGCCCTGACCCGGCGCTCACCGAGTGCAGAGGGACCAAGGAGGCAGTGGCCTCCAAACCAGCCTGGGGCATTGAGCCCACGTTCTTGTTATCCGGTTGACCCCTGCCAAGGGCTCACATGCACCCCGTGGTTGCGTTGCTTTGCACCCCACATGCAGAGTCTCTTCCCCTTGCTGGGTGCCAACCTCAGGTCCGAGCAACCAGACGTGTCTCCTTGGCGCTGAGCCACTGACCACCTTCTTTTCCCCTGTGCTCCGCGTGTTCTCCTCCGTTTCCTAACAGCAGCCCTGAGCCATGGGGTCACTGCCGTCTGCTGCGGTGCGGAAACACGGGCGAGTCGAGGGTGAGCTCAGCAGAGACCTCCTCGTGCTGGTGCAGCAATACCGGGCTGGGTGATCGCCTCCTCCTCCAGCTCCGTGGGGCCCTCCAATCCCCTTTCCAGGCCTTGGAGGCGCCCAGAGCCGCTCGCTTGTCCCTGCATCATCGCTGGCCGCCGCGATACCGCCCTCTCCAGCGCCTCCTTCGCCAGGACGCTCCTTGGGAGCGCGTTGCCCTGCCACAAAGCTGCCCGGAGCCGCGGGAAGGCTCTGCCTCACACTGCCCTCTGCAGAGCCCAGCAGCGCTGAGCGCGGCGGCAGCGCGCGGGCGGCATCCGCCACGCTGCCCACGCCAAGGAGCGGGGGAACCGCAGCACTGAGAGCAGGGTGAGTCAGTCTGGGAGGAAAACTCAGGGTTTCCGCAGAATTTCAGCACTTGCATAACGCGCCCTGTGACTGCGAGCCTTCCGCCACACGAGGCCAGCAGTGCTGCACGCCGCGCTGCGGCTCCGAGCTCAGCTCCGCTGCCAGCGGGGCCTGGGTCCTGAAGCTTTTCTGACACCGTAACCAGACACAACCACCCTGGGGAAAGACACGCAGCTCAGCGCCAGCAAAGCCCTACTGCAGCTAACGGGACAGGAGAACGACAGCAGCACGGAGGCTCCTCGGTATCTGACTGCTGCTCAAACTCTCTTGCCTTCAGGGATGCACCAGAAAGACAGCAGGGAAAGAAAACGGCCCGCAAAGGCTCAGCGCCATCCCGCAGAACATTTTGGGGTGAGAACACCTGAGAGGATTAAGGCAACGCCTCAGGAATCCATCAGAAAGCTGCAGCACTTCTTAAAAGGTCATGCAATCAACCCTAAGCCTTGCTTCAGCACCACAGCTGCATGAGACACTCTTGTCATGGGTTATAATGCCTACTGAATGAATCAAAACGTTTCAAAATGCTCTTTCTCCAGCACCCTCACCTACCCTCAGACCCAAATCTGACACAGTACCTTGAACACATCCTCCACGCAGCTGCTGAGCTCGGCCTCCTGCCCCAGCACAGCCCCGGCTGGCACGTCTTCCACCGCTATGTCTGAAAGCAAAGAGCAGAAACATCAGCCCTGCCACAAGCCGAGGGGCTCCAGCAGGAGAACTTTACTGTGTCCAAGGCAGTAGCACCAAAAAAAGCAGTTTCAGATTTTTCATGTCTTCCCTCCATCAGGGTAGCACAGGAACCACAAAGCCCTCAGTACCCATGCTAAACATCACTGTGGCGCTGAGAACTCCCCAAGATTACAAGTAATGCAAAGCACAGCACAAATTCTCCAAGGGTTATTGCTTTGAAAGTGGCTAAGTCAGTGCAAGGGATTGATGGCTTCTATCTGGTAGCCCCAAACAAGACCAGCAGACTGCAGGAGAGAATCCCAAAGAGAAGGGTGGAAGTCCTACTATTCGAGTCTTAAACTACAGGAGAGTTTGACACAAGTGCCAGAAAATATGGTGCCCCTAGCAGCAGAGACACATCCAGAGGTGACAAACTGGCCCTTGCACACACAGTAACCAAGTCAACAGTCCTTGAGCAAACTCCAGTGGGAGGATGAAGATCAGTGGAAAGAGAAATCAGACCCTTCTTCTCCGATTAGGGTTTTGGTTCGTCCCCTTACGGAGCTGGCAAAGACCAGCCGTTACCTGCAGCACTGGAGCATCGCAGGAGCGGTGCCAGCATGGGTTGCAGCAGGTATTTCTCCGCCAGCTGAGGATGCCCTTTTGCCATGGTGAGAAGCGTCGTGGTGGCCACTCTCTGAAACTGCCGCGCCGTCACTTTATCCTGGATGTGCAGCAAATCCAGGACCTGGAAGGAAATCCCAGGTGAGCAGCCCCTAAGGAGGGGCACAGGCCAACCCCTGTTGCGGTTGCTTTGCTGGGCACAGAGCATGGCGCTGCGCAGGGGCAGCTCTCCTCCCTGCGCACGCGTTAGTGGAAGAGGCATTTCTGGGCTCACACTTCGGGCCCACAAGTCTTCCTTAGCCAAGGGCTGGGAGCAGGAACTCCACACCATAACATCCCCTGAAGGGCAGTGCTGAAGAGCCCGTACGACGGGGCAGCACCGTTCAGCGTTTCCAACAAACGGAGAAGGTGCAGGATGGGGTGGAAACACATCCCACTGATAGAGCCCAAAACATCTCCACATCAGAGCAGCCAGGTTTGAGATGGGCCTTATTTGAGCAGAAACTAAACTAAATGCAGCATGGACATGCTCTGAGCAGGGTACAGCGCAAGGGTGGTCCCAATTCTGGTCTCACGGTGCTGCAGGGAGGCAGAAGAGAAGGGCCTACCTGGGGGCACACGAGTTTGTAGTAATCCTCGACAGAAAGGCACTGCTGAGGGCAGGCGGCCAGGATCTTTGCAACCACATCGCATTTCCTCCAGTCCACGGCTGCGGCGTCAGCACCGCTGCCACCTGCGAGGGCAGCAGAAAAACGAGATCAGCTCAGGCTGACCCCAAACTGCAGAGCTGGTTCTGGCTGAAGCCGGTTGTTTTGGGACAAAAAAAATGGCTTTTCTCTTTAAACTGAGCATCTTTCAGGAGACACCTGTATTTAATGGGAGAACAGGAAGGAAGGATTGTCCAAGGCCTCCAATACTGGAAGGCAACTGGCACAAATAGGCATGAAAGAGAGAAAAAAAAAAGAAGGTAGTGCTTGGATGGGGTCTCTGGACTGGTATTGATGGTATTGAAGAGGTTTTGGAAATGATAACTGTGGGGTTTGGGAACTGCAGCTTTTAGTGATGACCTCAAAATCCTTTAAGCTTAAGTTAAAGACATTCACAGGTGAGGAGTTCACCACTCCTTCATAACCAGAGGAAAGCTCAGTACAAATGTTTATAGAAGTTAATTAGCCTAATAAAAGTGATCTGCTATTTTGGGATTCGAATGGTGCTGTCCTTCCTGGGCTTCTCATGGGAAGAAAGATCTTGGACCCACCACAGTCGCTTTCTGTCAGTGATCCTGGAAGCAGCATCCGAGCACCGCACTCACCGCCTGTGCCCTCCATGATGCCGCGGACCACGGCGTGGACCCCGTGGGGTCGGAGCAGCCTCGATTTCTGAAAGGAAGCAAAGCAGCACGTTAAGGAGCACCCTCTCCCCGGCACGCGCCCCGGCACAGCCCTCACCAACAGGCAAAATGAGGCACTCCGCGCCCTGGAGGGCTGGGAATGACACAGAGGCTCAGGACAGAGAAGATGTTTTAAATAAATCGCTTCATCATCTAGAGGCAAAAAGACAATTAGGGCCTAATGAGAGGGACAACCTTCCCAGGAGCAACTTCTCACACTGAGCTTTCCCCCTTTAATTAAAATCCCAGGGTCATGCCTCAAATCTGACTGTCTCATTACTGAACTGACACACTGGGGAGGTCGCGGGACAAGACACACTCAGTGCTCACAACTGAGCGGCACTTCTGGCTTGTGCTGGGCCAAGAGGGTGGGAAGGGGAAGGAGAACATTAACTCTGCTTTGGTGCCATTTGTGCACAACAGAACCAAAGTCTTCCTGTTGCAATAAAATATTTGGTAAAGAAACAATATTAAATGAGCGCTGCAGGTGCAAGGCCACCTTGCATACTGAGTACGCCGGAGCATACTCTGAGGCAACAGGAAGGGTCCAGCTGCCTCCGTTAACAAGATGTGACACCCAGAGCCCTCCAGCACACGGCTCCTTCGTGTCACATCCACCCTGGTGCTCCGGGGGAGCAGAGGAAGCGCTCTGCAGCCATCTGCCTTTATGGTGGCAGCACAAAGGGACGATGAGCCGCAGCTCGGCACTGCCAGCCCTGTGGGACAGCTTCCCTGTGAGGTAGATGTCCCCATGTCCCTCCTGCATGGCGATCACCCCATAAGAAAATTCCCTAGAGAGCAGCAAAGCCGCCAACGGGACACTGCGATGTGTGACGTGAACACCCGAGCTGGGATACCACCGTCACCCGTGGGTGCAAGGAACACAAAATCTTCTTCAAAGCAGCTCAGGAGATTCTGTGCGTGCTCCACAGCCCCGGTACCTGCTTGGATCCGCCCTGCAGGATGAGCAGCTCCTGCACGGCCAGGGGCTGGTAGACGCGGTCCAGGAGCTGCCGCAAGGTCTCCCGGCACTGCGCTCGCTCCTCTTCCGAAACGCCCTGCAAGGGAGGAACGCCGAGGCGCTCAGGGGGACATGGGCACTGCGACTGCAGGGGACACAGGCACCGCGGCCACAGGGGGACAAGTCACCGCGGCCACAAGGTGGACAGGGGCACTGTGACTGCAGGGAATGTGGGCACCCATGGGGACGGGGAGAGACACGAGCACCCATGGTCACAGGGGGAGGCACGGGCACTGCGGCCACGGCAGGGACACGGGCACCGCAGCCGCGGGGGGACACGGAGCCGGTCTCCAGCTCGAGCTCTGGGTGAAGCAGTGCCCTCCACCTTGGGGAGCAGCAGCAGCTGATGCGGAGGGGA